GTTGTTTTTCTGTTTTCTATCCCATGGATTTTAGCTCTTAGCCTTATGATTTTCTTTCCCATAGAGGCTCTGGGAGTAGCTTGGTTTTTTTTTTTCCCCTATTTGCTGGAGATATTAAATAGTTTATTTTACTCTTTACTTCTTTTCTTATGTGTTTGTCTATTGCTATGAACTACCCTCTGTACACTGATGTTGTTTTATTTATCCCAAGGTTTTGATGTGTTGTATTTTCATTTTCATTCATGTCCAGAAACTTTTTATTTCTTTTGTGACCCAGAGGAATCTTTGATGACCTAATGGTAAGGAGTTGCACTGCCAACACAAAGGCATGTAATTTGAATTCATCAGCTACTCTGTCAGAGAAAGATCAACAGTCTTCACCCATGTAATTTTTTGCCTCTGAAAACCTGTTGAAGAGTCTATGAGTAGATTCTGACTCAGTGGAACATAGCGACAATATGCTAGTACTCAAGCAAAGTGTTATTTAGCTTCCATGTGGATAGCTCTCATGGCCTAGTGGTAAGAAACTGCACTGCAATTCTAAAGGCACCTGGTTCAAAACTACCATCAGCTGTTCTGCAGGTGAAGGATGGGCAGTCTCCTCCTGTGTGATTAACTGCCTCTTAAAACCCACTGGAGGGTCAGCTATCTGTTGGTTCTGACTTGATGGTATGCAACCACAACAACAACATCCTTTATCTCCTTGTTAATTATCAGTTTTATGACATTGTGTTCTGAGAAGATACTTTGCATTTCTATTTGTTGAGGTTTGCTTTGTGTCCTACTGAATGACTAATTCTGGAGAGGGTACCAAGTACATTTGAAGAAAGAGTGCACTGGGTAATGTAACCTGAATACATTTATGAAGTCAAATTAGCTAACTTTATAGTTCTTCAGCATCTTTACTGCTCTTATTTTTATTTGACCTGTCTTTTGGTGAGTGTGGTGTGTTGAAATTTCTGCCTTCTTAAACTCTCTCAAGAGTAGCAAGAGTAGGGTATCTTTTTTAAAAAACAAAAAAAACCAAACAACCCAAAACCAAAAAAAAAACAAAAAAAAAAAACCCAATACAGCAAAACCAACACAGAAAACGAATCTCTCTGAAATTCAGTTTTTTCTTGTTATTTTCGGCTTTTTTTTTTTTAAAAAAAAAAACAAACCAAATTCAGTTTCTTAATCTATAAAATAGGATAATTTGTGAAAATTTTTCTCAACTAATATTATTTTGAGGGAGCTCTGGTAGCCTAGTGGCAAGAAGCTGCTCTGCAGCACATGGTTCAAGTCCACCATCTGCTCTATGGGAGAAGGGTGGGCAGTCTCCTCCCACGTGATTAACTGCCTCTGAAAACCTACCAGCTTTTGGGTCACCTATGGATCAGTTCAGAGTCTGTGGTATACAACAATAAACAACAACTTGTGGTATTCTCTGTTTCTTTCTTCATGTTTGTTAACCTTTGTTTTATGTATTTTGCAGGTCTGTCTTTTGGTGTGTAGATATTAACTAAAGTTATAGCCTCTTGATCTATTGGGTCTTTAATAATTATATAGTCTTCTTCCTTATCTCTCTTCGTGGTTTTCATCCTGAAGTTTTTTTTATCAGAGATTGGTATTCCCACTCCTTTCTTATGAATGCCATTTACTTGGTGTATTTTCCCCCACTGTCTGATTTTTAGTCTCTCTTTCTTACTAGTATTTCTCTTGTCTTTCATCTATCTTTCACTTGTAAGTAATATATTGGTGGGCTTTCATTTTTCATCCATTCTGCTACCCTTTTTCCTTTTAATCAATATATTTAAGCTATTCACATTGAGTATGGTTATTGGCAGGTCAAATTTTATCATAGCCATTTGCTGTGGTCCTTTTCTGTTTTTGCTGGTTACTATCGTCCATTGATTTGCTATCTCTGTGTAAAGGACCTCCATTAGTTTTTCTTGTAGACTTAATTGGTCTAGTTTTCATAAATTTCTTAAGTTCTTGCTTTTCTGTAAATGACCTAATTCATCCTTCATATTTGATGTACAGCTTTGCTGGGTATAGAATCATACACTGGGAATTGTTTTCTTCCAGTCTTCTGTATTTGCCATCCTATAGTCTTCTTGCTCACATAGTTTCTGCTGAGAAGTCAGAGTTTAATCTAATTGGTTCTTCTTTGTAGATGACTCTGTTTTTCTCATGCTGCTTTTAATATTCTATCCTGTGTTTGATTTTTTTAGAACTTGACTAAGATACTGATTTTTTTTTTTTTAGGTCTAACCTTTTTGGAGTTCCCTGAGCTTCTTGAATGTGTATCTCCTCATTATTCATGGTACTTGGAAAGTTTTCTTCTAGTACCTCTTCCACAATTTTCTCAATGCTTTTTTGGCACTCCCTTCCTCCTCCATTCTGGGATTCCAATCATATGTATGTTGTCGTGTTTGCTGTCATCCCACATAATTCTTGTATTTCCTTCACTTTTCCTTTTGTCTTTTCTTTTAGTAACTGCAAAATGAAAACATACTAGAATTTGTACTTTATTGACTATGCAAGGTGTGGATCATAATATATTATGGCTAACATTGAGAAGAATGGGAATTCCTGAACACTTAATTGTGTTCATGCAAAACCTGTATCTAGACCAAGAGGTTATTGTGCAAACAGAGCAAGGGAACATGACACAGTTAAAACACTAAGAAAAGCATACATTAGGGTTGTACCCTTCACTATACCTATCCAACCAATATGCTGAGCAAATGATTCAAGAAGCTGGACTCTATGAAGAAGAATGTGGCATCAGGATTGGAGGAAGACTCATCAATAACCTATATTATGTAGATGACACAACCTTGCTTACTAAAGTAAGGAGGACTTGAAGCACTTTACTACAGAATATAAAGAATACAACCTTCAATATAGATTGCATTTTAACATGAAGAAAACAAAAATTCTTATCACTGGATAAGCAATATGATAGATGGTGAAAAGATTGAAACTGTCTACAATTTAATCTTACTTGGCTCCACAATCAATATTCTTGGTACCAGCAGTGAGGAGGTGTATTGCACTGAGGAAATTTGCAGCCAAAGACATCTGTAAATTATTGAGAAGCAATGGTGCCAGTTACAGGACTAAGGCATCAGTTATAGACTGATTTGTGCCATGATCTTTTCGATCACTTGCAATGCTTCTGAGAGCTAGACAGTGAATAAGGATGACAGAAGAAGAATTGATGGCCTTGAGCTGTGGTTGGTGTTGGAGAACAGTACTGAGTATCCCATGCTGTCAAATGTTCTACCACTGAGCCATGCCCCCTGAATATCCCATGTATTGTCAAAATAACAAACAGATATGTCTTGGAGAAAGTGCAACCAGAGTGCTCCTTGGAGACAAGGTGGTAATAAAGCTTCATCTCATATTCTTTGGCATGTTGCTATAAGAAGCTATTTATTGGAGGGGGACTCATGCTTGGAAAGACAGAGGGTTAGCAAAATACAGGGAAACTCTCAATCAGTGACTGCAGCAATGGGCCTAAATATATGATAAATTGTGAGGTTAGCAGAAGATAGGACAAGATCAAATCTATTGTTCTTATGGTCGCTATGAGTTGTACTTGACTTGCTGGCACTGAACAAGATTCTTCTATCTCACTGATTCTCTGCTCCATCTCTTCTATACTGCTTTCTTGTCCCTCCAATATGTTGGAAATTTCTTCAGTATCTGTCACGATGCATTAGATTTTATTTTCATGCTTTTCTATTGCTCCTGGTACTCTATTGGTTGTAATCTCTCTATTTTGTAATGCTTTTTAAATTTCTTATTGCTGTTTACTATGATTTTAACTCTTCAGTTTTTTGCTACTTTTTCAGTTCCATTTCTAGGACCTCCATATTGGTATATTTCTTCGGTCTTTCTGTTTCTGGGGGATTCTTTGGGTTCATGATCTAGTCTGCTTTTTTTAAAAGAGAAGGCTTATTTTGTTTTTTTAAATAATGTTTGAACCTCACTGCTGTTTCCTTGGCATTAAGTGAAGTTCTTCTTCGTGTGTATAAGTCAGATTCTATAGTGTCTGTGGAGGAAGCTACTAATTCCTTATCTTTGTTATACTACTGAAAGAATCTCTTTCTCCACCAGTCGTCCCTCTCTTCCCTGTTCAGATGGCAAACTTCTTTTCTGGTTGTACTTGGGGAGCAGGTAGATGGGATCCTTCCCTTTGGCCAGGTATGGTGAGCTTGTTCCATTGTGAGTCATATGCAACTACAGTTCAAATTCTCAATGAGGACTGGTGCTTGGTCAGGTTGAACAATTGAGGACATGGAACCTGGGGCTAGATAATGATTTTATTTTTGGAAGTGCACTCTCCTCTGTGAGTTATGGTACACACCTCTCTGATATTAAGGTGATTTGGCAACTCATACCCACACAATGCTTTCCTAGATGCTGGCTGGTCCCAGAAGGTGGGTGGATGAGTGAGGGGCAGGGAGGATTCACAAGTGGCCCCTTGCTACTGATTGGCCTTGACATGTGTGTGGGTAGACAGGTGGGGAGCGGATTAATTTTAATAATAATTAATAAATTTTAATAATATCAAAGGGAGTGATAATCCATTGACATCCTAAGGCTAAGCTTTATGCTGATGTTAAACTTTTCAATTTAATATAAAGTAGTGATTACCATTTCATTTGTTGTTGTGTGCCATCCAGTTGGAATTGACCCCTCACTGATTCTCCAATAGGTTTTCAGAGGCAGTAATCACACAGGAGGATATTACCTATCTACCATGGAGCGGCTGGTAGATTCAAACCACATGCCTTCAAGATTGCAGCATAGATTCCTACCATTGGGCCACCAGAGTGCCCTTCAATAGCTTATTGTTTTACCATTTCATAGTATATATTTTAATAAAGATGTTCCTGTGTACTAAATAAATAAATAATAGCTAAGTATCATTCCACCATCAAAAATGCTCATCCTTTCTGGAAATCTGGATTAAAATATAATAGATATGAACATTTCCTTTTCTCTAGAGAACGATTGAAAGCTATGTGGATAAGCGAATGGGAAGCACATATGGGCCACCAGGAGGCAGAAAAATGACTGTATTTATTGATGACATTAACATGCCTGTGATTAATGAGTGGGGAGATCAGGTATGTCTGAAATATTTCATATAGATGATAATCATTATATTAGATTATACATATAAATGCTAATAGCCTTATTTTTAAATCTCCTAGCACTTTTCAGTCTTTTAGTCTTCCTTGTTTAATAGTCTTATTTCTTGAAATTACTATATGGTTTTCCCCAGTAATCCCCTCCTATGTGTCTAGGCACTTGGTTTCATTGCCCTTCCTGTGCTTCTTTCTTGCTTCTGGAGTTCTGGGTGGTGCAAGTGGTTTTCCTAGCTTGAGTACTAACCTAAAAAATGAAAATTTGAGTCTCCACCCAGAGGGGTCTCAGAAAGAAGACATGGCAATCTACGTCTGAAAAAAAAGAAGAATCATTCATTGACAACTCTATGCAACAATACAGAGTACAACAATGGCTAAACCCCCCCCCCAAACAAAACCCTATGTGTGTGTGTATATGTATGGGTTTGTGTGTGAAGGGGGATGGGGGGGAGAGAGAGAGAGAGAGAGAGCGCTAGGTGGCATATTGCCTAATGTGTTGGATTGTACCCAAGTGCCTATACCTGGCTGGAGAAAAGTGCACAATACCAATTTCACTATAAAATCATGATCATGGATCTCAGATGAGCATTTTCATTTTCGCTTTCTGTGTGGTAAAATTCAAGTGACATGAAACCTGCCATTTTAGCCATTTTTAGTTGTACAATTCAGCAGCATTAATTTAATTTACAATTTTGTGCAAATATCACAGCTACTTCCAAATGTTTTCATCACCCCACATGGAGACTCTGTACCCTTTAAACTTAACTGCTTTCCCATTTCTCCCTTTTGTAGCTCTTGCCTGACATGCCACCAGAGCTCCTTATAAGTTTTCTTATGCTAATATGATTGGGATCATAAAATATTTGTCCTTGTATGTCTGATTTTGGGAGCTCTGGTGGCCTCGTGGCAAAGAAGCTGTGCTGCAATCCTGAAGGCACACAGTTTGAGGCCACCAGCTGTTCGGCGGGAGGAGGATGGACAGTTTTCTCCCATTCCTCTGACAATCTGCTGGAGGGTCAGCGATGGGTCAGTTCTGACTCGATGATACACAGAAACAACATATCTGATTTATTTCATTAAATATTGTTTGATCTTTACAATTGCTTCCTTATTATCTTCATATTTCACTTGCTCCATTATCCTGTTCTTAAGTTAGCAACCACTAAAAATATAAGTCAGACCATGACAACTCAAGAATCCTTCATTGGGTCTCATAGGATATGCTTGCCAAAATCTTCACCATGGCCCTAAGACTTTATGCTGTTTGCTCTCATTACTCTTTACTCCAACCAAATCTATTGATCCTTGTTCATGCTGGGTATACAGTCACACAGAGTCTTTGCATTTTTCTATTTCCACTGCCTTAGATATTCTTCACCTACAGTACTGGAATGGTTTGTTTTCTTACCTCCTGTTAAGAGTCTTCCCTGATCTTCATAGTTCAGGTGCATCCCCTGAGTACTCACATTTACTTTTTCTGTCTTGGTTTCTTCAAAAGAAAATATTAAGTTATTAATTGACTCTTCCATAAATACATAGATACATCCTTGCATGTTATGTCCTCGCCTAGAATTTAAGTTCTGTAAGGATAGTTTTGTCTATGCTATAGTAAAGCCTGATATGTAGTTTTATCATGTTTCCACCAAGTCAGCTCTGACTCCTGTTGGTATCAGGTACAACAGAATGAAATGCTTCTTAGTCCTGCACCATCTTTATAATTGTTGTTATGCTCAAGTGGTTAGACCACTTTGTGCCTTTCAATGTAGGGGCTCATCTTCCAGCACTCTTTCAGATAGCATTCTGCAGTTAGTTTTATGGATTTTCTTGACTAGTTTTTGTAAGTAGATCTCCTCTCCAGATGAGGTGAAACTTACTGTAAGTGTAAAAGCTGTTGTAATTATACCAAACAGCTCACAACTCATCTATCTACATTTATTAAACAGTTAGGTTTCGTTTTACCAGTGTGGCTAAAAGTACACAGAACTTGAACTAAGCATGTTTAGTATACACTGTAGAATCTATGTTTGTGTCTTAGGCTTCTCTAGAGAAACAGAACTGATGAGATGTTTCTCTATATATCTATGTCTGTATCCATGTATCCAACTTCATGGAATTTATTCACAGCACTGTAGGGATGACAAGGTCAGTCAGCAAGCTGGAGACTTCTCCAGGATCTATTGGTTAGGCAATAGAAAGAGTGGAAAGTGATGAAAAAAAAGAAAAATGTTCAGCCAAAGTATCTCTTTATGGTCTGAAGGAAACTCCCTTTTTAACAGACTGATTGATTATATGACATTACTTTTCATAATAGATTACCAGGACTCCTACTGGGACAGCTTTACTCAGTCTTATAGGACCACAATGAGTCAGAATGAACTCAGTGGAAATGGGCTTAGTGGTGGTTTTGTGGTTGTTTGTATCTAGAAATGGGATGATTATATGCTAATAAAAGATTACTTTATACAATTTCAGATAACTAATGAGATTGTGCGACAGATGATGGAAATGGAAGGAATGTATAGCTTGGATAAACCTGGAGACTTCACTACTATTGTTGATGTGCAGCTCATTGCAGCAATGATCCACCCTGGGGGTGGTCGAAATGATATCCCACAACGTTTAAAAAGACAATTTACTGTGTTTAATTGCACACTGCCTTCAAACACTTCAATAGACAAAATTTTTGGTATGAATAATTTTGGCATTTAATTTTTCTATTGCATTACATAACAGATAATAAAATATGCAAATTTTAACAGATAGGAAAGTCCCATGTGAAGTAGGGATTAAATATATAATACAGAGAGCTAATCAGCAGAAAAAAACCTAAATACTAGAGAGAATTTGAAAAACTACTAGAGAGACTCATTGTCTAGCCTAGAAATAGTCTGTGGATGGTTGTTATTGAAGGGACATGAACCTTGGGGCTTTAGTTTTCTTAATATGGTGACACAGAGAAATGTGAATTCATGATTTGTAGATTGATCATAAATTGTTGTTGTTGTTGTTATGTGCCGTCGAGTCGTTTCCGACTCATAGCGACCCTATGCACAACAGCCCTAAACCCTGCTCTATCCTGCGCCA